CTTCCCACAAAGTTGTAAGACAATCCTTGCGTTGGCAGATACTGAATCCAGGGTTACCAGGAACTTAGCCAGACCTCTGAATGCAGCCCATAGAATATTTTGTAGTGCTACCAGTCCCAAATCATGGGTCAAAACTACAGATTTACCCTCTGGCCATGAACCGTAGAGGTTTGAGAACGTGTGCGAAGCAGGCATTGGCTGATTCAGCGGTTGTTATCGTCCTAGATCACCGGGATTTTTTGCTTGAATGGATATCCCGTTAATAGTTGCCTCTCCGTGGTTCGTATGACAAGGAAGAAGTCTCACAAGCGAGAAGTTTATGCTTACGTTCCAACTGACTGTAGCTTTGACATCATCGAAGACAAGTTTTACGACTCCCTGAATGCCTTGTTGCGGTGAGCGAAAAGCTCAGATTTCGTTGTGATAGCCGGAGATCTGAGTGCACAGGTTAGCAAGCTTTGTTCATCTGAGACTCGATTGGGCTCGGAACGTGGTGAACGATTGTTTCAGTTGTGTGCTGACCGCAGGGTGTCTATATACAGTACTGACTTCTGAAATAAACAAAGTCATCTGTCGACATGGTGTACTCCAACGGTGTGCCGGCTGCGAACTCAATTTGATCACATTACCGTCAGTTACCGATGGCGCGGATCAATAAAATTTGATCAACCGTCAGTTACCGATGGCGCGGATCAATAACTGACTATCGCTCGTTTTAGAACAATTGTGGGTTTCGATCAAGCGCTCGCTCGTTCTCGCTTCTTCGTTTTACACGGCTGCGTAACATGTGAACAAATGGCTTGGCAGCTGAGAGACTGGTAAATCCTGATCTTAGACGAATTCACGAGAGTCATCTTCTGGAGTCTGTCTCAACTGCTCCACGACCAGGTGTGAACTCACACATGGACGTGATGGCCATCGCTTTGCACAGTACTGTGAGTTTTGCCGGTGATACGGCGCTACGAGGCCTACTCATGCACTGAATATTAAACCGAACAGTGACACTGGTTAAATTTTGTTGATGTGTCCTTGCCGGTCCCGAACATAACCTTGTTGATCTGAAATATGCAGACGATATCGTCCTCACCTTTGAAGAGGACGAGAAAGCTCAGGTGATTTCGGATGAACTGACCAAAGTCATTCTGTCTTTTGGAATGCATTTTGCGCACTGCCAATTGATGTCAGTGGCGTTCTTTCTGTCATTCTTTATCCAGATTGTCTGAAAGTGTCTGGATGTGTAGATACCTCGGAATGATTGTGATGGACTAGCACGAAGTCGCTTCCCCATCCGCTTTTCTCCACAAAATGGCTTTCAAATAAATCGCAGCGGTAAAGGAAAAAAGAAGCAAGGCTTTCTCTGCCGACTGCAAGGACGTATTTCACTATTGCTACTCAGCCAACCGCTAAAGTACTCGAAGTGGATATTCCGCGCTGTTCATTTTACGCTCGGCCTGAAATTGGCCGCACGGCGGCTTCAAGAAACGTTTTGCAAGTATCGCCAGCCATTCCATACTCTCTTCATAAGCGTGACGAGGGTCTTCGCCTCTATCAACCAAAAACTACTGTAGACGGTGCCTTCCAAATACGAATGTCTGCCAAAATCCGTCAGTTTTCTCCGAAGCTTACATGACGGAACGAGAGCGGGGATGCAAACGAATGGTTCGACTTCTAGTGATTTCCAAATCTTGTAGGACGGGGGTGCATCCTCGTCTTCAGTCTCTACCTACCGACCATCGTAGATGCGGACTTTGTAAACGAGTGCTACTGCATGGTTTGAATATCGGCTTGATGAATCTGTGTTCAGGATTAATCGTTTTGGTGCAAAGAGTTTTGTCATCAGACATTCTCATGTCTAGGAACAACTCTGTATTGTTCGCGCATACGCGTTATAAACTGGAACGCATTAGGACGGACGAAGTTTGTGGACCGCTACGGGGACTTTCGCTATCTCAAAAAACATCGCTGACTTCGGCGTCGACCGTGAGCTGAGACTGTGTTGCCAAAGCTACTGTCGTTTTTGGCAAACCCAAGTAACAGGTAGGGAGAACAGGAGCCCGCGATTGGAGACCAAGCTGCACATCTTTAGGGGAATCGTCCTGTCGGTCCCTATATACAGTATTCAAACACTGCTCGTATGCCAGCGCAGCGTTTGATACTCGAACAGCTTGCACGTGCGCTGACTGACTGGTGTACACTCACTGAATGCGTACCGGACCCGGATCATCGTCATACGGTTCAAGGCGGTACTTGTTGGTTACCATACATGTATGCCTCGAGTGCCTCTGATGGGTTTGCACGGGGTCCAGTGCGTCTGTTCACCGCGCATGCGGCTGGACGCAAACCGCATGTATGTAGCGTAATCTATTGTGCGCACGGGGTCCTTCAATGTGGTTCAATATGAAATGTTAGTCCGGAAACCGTTGCTAACCCACCATATATGTGGACAGGAGCGACATTCATTTTCTCGAATTCGTACGTTTGATAGACAAGTGAGTTCCAAATTTAATTCTCATTCGTAATTGTGCTTTTGTATCTTTACTTACCTTCACCCTCCGACACTACAGGATGAAGATGTGAACACGGATCCGAACTCTCAAGTTTTGCGCCGGTCGTTTCACTTCGATGGCTCACGTTACTTTTCCTGGCTGCCTTCCCTTCATGTTGAGCTTTCCGAGGTGAGAAATCATTCTTGAAGTTTTATAGTGTTCTTGTTTGATACAAACGTTCATCTTTTAACCCGTATGATCGTTAGAACGCAGCTCCAAGAGGTATCGTCTGAAACAGCATTCCGATATTGTATTTATGGTCTACGTTTCTGAAGCGCATGTTTTGCTGCTTTATCTTATCCATAATACATCATCGAAGACAAGTTTTACGACTCCCTGAATGCCTTGTTGCGGTGAGCGAAAACCTCAGATTTCGTTGTGGTAGCCGGAGATCTGAGTGCACAGGTGAGCATCTGAGACTCGATTGGGCTCGGAACGTGGTGAACGATTGTTTCAGTTATGTGCTGACCGCAGGGTGTCTATATACGGTACTGACTACCGAAATAACCAAAGTCATCTGTCGACATGATGTACTCCAACGGTGTGCCGGCTGCGAACTCAATTTGATCACATTACCGTCAGTTACCGATGGCGCGGATCAATAACTGACTATCGCTCGTTTTAGAACAATTGTGGGTTTCGATCAAGCGCTCGTTCGGAATCGCTTCTTCGTTTTACACGGCTGCGTAACATGTGAACAAATGGCTTGGCAGCTGAGAGACTGGTAAATCCTGATCTTAGACGAATTCACGAGAGTCATCTTCTGGAGTCTGTCTCAACTGCTCCACGACCAGGTGTGAACTCACACATGGACGTGATGGCCATCGCTTTGCACAGTACTGTGAGTTTTGCCGGTGATACGGCGCTACGAGGCCTACTCATGCACTGAATATTAAACCGAACAGTGACACTGGTTAAATTTTGTTGATGTGTCCTTGCCGGTCCCGAACATAACCTTGTTGATCTGAAATATGCAGACGATATCGTCCTCACCTTTGAAGAGGACGAGAAAGCTCAGGTGATTTCGGATGAACTGACCAAAGTCATTCTGTCTTTTGGAATGCATTTTGCGCACTGCCAATTGATGTCAGTGGCGTTCTTTCTGTCATTCTTTATCCAGATTGTCTGAAAGTGTCTGGATGTGTAGATACCTCGGAATGATTGTGATGGACTAGCACGAAGTCGCTTCCCCATCCGCTTTTCTCCACAAAATGGCTTTCAAATAAATCGCAGCGGTAAAGGAAAAAAGAAGCAAGGCTTTCTCTGCCGACTGCAAGGACGTATTTCAACTATTGCTATCAGCCAACCGCTAAAGTACTCGAAGTGGATATTCCGCGCTGTTCATTTTACGCTCGGCCTGAAATTGGCCGCACGGCGGCTTCAAGAAACGTTTTGCAAGTATCGCCAGCCATTCCATACTCTCTTCATAAGCGTGACGAGGGTCTTCGCCTCTATCAACCAAAAACTACTGTAGACGGTGCCTTCCAAATACGAATGTCTGCCAAAATCCGTCAGTTTTCTCCGAAGCTTACATGACGGAACGAGAGCGGGGATGCAAACGAATGGTTCGACTTCTAGTGATTTCCAAATCTTGTAGGACGGGGGTGCATCCTCGTCTTCAGTCTCTACCTACCGACCATCGTAGATGCGGACTTTGTAAACGAGTGCTACTGCATGGTTTGAATATCGGCTTGATGAATCTGTGTTCAGGATTAATCGTTTTGGTGCAAAGAGTTTTGTCATCAGACATTCTCATGTCTAGGAGCAACTCTGTATTGTTCGCGCATACGCGTTATAAACTGGAACGCATTAGGACGGACGAAGTTTGTGGACCGCTACGGGGACTTTCGCTATCTCAAAAAACATCGCTGACTTCGGCGTCGACCGTGAGCTGAGACTGTGTTGCCAAAGCTACTGTCGTTTTTGGCAAACCCAAGTAACAGGTAGGGAGAACAGGAGCCCGCGATTGGAGACCAAGCTGCTCGTCCTGTCGGTCCCTTGTACAGTATTCAAACACTGCTCGTATGCCAGCGCAGCGTTTGATACTCGAACAGCTTGCACGTGCGCTGACTGACTGGTGTACACTCACTGAATGCGTACCGGACCCGGATCATCGTCATACGGTTCAAGGCGGTACTTGTTGGTTACCATACATGTATGCCTCGAGTGCCTCTGATGGGTTTGCACGGGGTCCAGTGCGTCTGTTCACCGCGCATGCGGCTGGACGCAAACCGCATGTATGTAGCGTAATCTATTGTGCGCACGGGGTCCTTCAATGTGGTTCAATATGAAATGTTAGTCCGGAAACCGTTGCTAACCCACCATATATGTGGACAGGAGCGACATTCATTTTTTCGAATTCGTACGTTTGATAGACAAGTGAGTTCCAAATTTAATTCTCATTCGTAATTGTGCTTTTGTATCTTTACTTACCTTCACCCTCCGACACTACAGGATGAAGATGTGAACACGGATCCGAACTCTCAAGTTTTGCGCCGGTCGTTTCACTTCGATGGCTCACGTTACTTTTCCTGGCTGCCTTCCCTTCATGTTGAGCTTTCCGAGGTGAGAAATCATTCTTGAAGTTTTATAGTGTTCTTGTTTGATACAAACGTTCATCTTTTAACCCGTATGATCGTTAGAACGCAGCTCCAAGAGGTATCGTCTGAAACAGCATTCCGATATTGTATTTATGGTCTACGTTTCTGAAGCGCATGTTTTGCTGCTTTATCTTATCCATAATGCGCCGCCATCTGTTCTATGCTTACTTACCGGAGATAATACCTTGTGGTCTGTGTTGGACTTAGTTCGGGAGATTTCGGAGACCGGTCCGAAACGAGCAAATCAGAAATAACGAGTCCAATATACTTTTGTTGTTTTATGCACTAGAAATATCCATTCTTTCAGTAAGTAGTTTGTTTCTTGGTTCGATGACTTTAGACCATAAAAATTGCACTCAGTAGTCTTACCAGTGGTAACTTTGTTATAGGTGAACGTACTCATCCTTGGTTTCGATTCAGTCACCAAATTTCAGCAGAAGGAAATACATGTAGTAAGCAAACGTATTTCCGCGACATTCCTCTGGCTTTTGCAACGGATTGGCCGTCAAGATGAAAAAGGCGAACAGAGAACCACCATGCATGCGCAATAGGGCCGTTACTATCACACAATAGTTATCAGACAAGGAAGTTTGTTCCATTGTTTGTCAGGAATTATTGTGTTTGGAAGGGGTATCAAAAACTTACTCAGCTTGCATCTTAGAAACAATTTCCTCCATTCAAGTGAACAGCTGGACTGTATCTTTACCACTGCATGGTAGTTGTTCACCCAGTCGAATCGCTCTTATCCTTACGAGGGGTTAAAATTGCTTGAATTGATCCAAACGGATAACGTCAGTGACGCAGGAAAGCCCCTTTAACTCTCACAGTCCTCAGCAAAGAATGTACTCTCAATTTACTGCAACAGCTTGCAACGCTCACGGATAAGCTTTTTCAGTGCACGCACTGAGGTCGCTGAGAGAGAAAAGAACTTCTGCAGCTAAGGTACTGGGTCATGCCCCTCCAACGTATCCACCCAAACGATACTCTTAGATGTTTAGACGCCGTCATTGCAGCCATCACGAGATAAATACACTTTCCATCAAATGAGGCGAGCGTTGCTCTGATATCATGCATCCAGCCAAGTGGTGTACCGACAACTGAACATTCCCTCGATCATGGACATTATACATTTAGCCCACCCATTCAGTCAAACTTCCCCGTGACTTTTACTTGTCAAATTGAATAGACCTCCGGCTTGTGTGATGGTAAATAGATCTATGACCCGTAATAAAGTTGCCCTGGTTGGCCTGTCGGTTACACTTCCCAGCTCAATGTGCACCAGTGGCACATCTCTACTGTGCTTCCGGTACCTTTGTTCGGACAATTGTACTGCATTATTCCTGAGATGGAACCAATAGTGCGGGTACCGGCAAAAGCTCGCTTATTGAACGCCGAAATTTGCACGCCTATACAGAATCCGAGCCACTAGCGTAGTTTTCCGGCCGTCCAATCCACACACCGCGTTTTCTGACTGCTGGACCGATGTGAGTATCTATGTAGGGTGCACGCATCATTGCGTGAGGAGCCACCGGTAGTGCTTCCTCTGGACTTCCTGACAGATTGCACTCAACCCTCTTTGCGACGAGTCAGGAGCTCCGAAACACCGCGTGTCAGGTTGTCTTCGGGATGTGACACAGACAGACCACCTGGGCTGGATCAAACCGTATTTGCTGACTTGGCAACGAGTGCGGACAAACAATCAAGTCCTCCGTCTTAACCGGAACGTTCCCGACAGCATGAGCCAAGTACCGTCGACTAGAACTTCGGGGTTAATCGTAATTTGGACCACGACATACTTTACCCACAAACATAGGCATTTCATGGGAAACAACAAATATCGTGTTTTAGATTTTAGGTCATTCGAAATGCTATCTGCATTCGTCTTTAGACATGTTTAAAACGCAACGTAATGTACGATGCTTAGTTAGGGCAAGATACGGGTAATGACTAGAGCACTTTCTTACTCAAGTTGCCACTCACAAATTTAGAGTAAGTCAGCGGTGAACTCGAGCTTCGTTTGTCATTCCATGTCTAAAAGAATGCTTCACGCACCCTAAGCTGAACGTATGTAGGAAACTGACGAGGAAAACTCATACCCGGAGGCATGGCGATTATAGTCCTAAGTGGTAGAAACAGCTCATTTTTGGTCGCTCGTCAACCTTTCAAGAGGATAGGTAAGTAATCGTCACCAGATACAAGATCAAAAAGGAACTTTACCTCAGATGTAACGCGCTACCCATAGGGCTGCTGAAAACTGACAGCCTACGGGCATTTTTTTCCAGCCAATGCACAACGATATCGATATCTGAAATATCATACCAGCTGAAACATGAAACGGTCTCGCGCAGCACACTCAGTTGAAAGGTGCATGACAAACGAGAGCTTCAGCTGGAATTCAGTCGAGTTTCCCGTTAAAACCAAATCAGTATGTAAATGAGAGTATTTAGCCAATTCTACCTCACTTATAGAAGCAAGAGAATTTGGTGTTTATTCAGCGAATAACGTAGTGCTATGACTCGCCCTTCCAATACGTGACAGTAGGTCATCAAGAATGCATCCATAGCTTCCAGCAGTAATATCTTATAGACTTTTCGTTTACTGGAGTAGTACGTCAGATACCTACCATATACTGGCAGCCAGTCTAGCACAGGAAACTCCCAAATAAAGCTGCTTCCCACAAAGTTGTAAGACAATCCTTGCGTTGGCAGATACTGAATCCAGGGTTACCAGGAACTTAGCCAGACCTCTGAATGCAGCCCATAGAATATTTTGTAGTGCTACCAGTCCCAAATCATGGGTCAAAACTACAGATTTACCCTCTGGCCATGAACCGTAGAGGTTTGAGAACGTGTGCGAAGCAGGCATTGGCTGTCTGCAGCATTCTAGAAATGGAATGGTGTTAGGACATCCCATCCAATGCGTGGCTAGGTATTGATGGTCACTCTGAATCCCTCAAGTGCCAAATAAAATTTATCACGTCAAGATTTTTGGTACACGCACTATAAATGTATGACCGTCGTTCACCAAAGGGTGTGGTGTTTTCTCCGAACTCTTGTTTGCGAAGGATTCTCTTGGGACAAGTCGCCCACTCTCGAACAGTGCTGGGAATTTTCTGCTCACGCAGTTTTCTGGTCCATACGATTCTCTTTGCACATTATGAGAAACCCTACAGGACATGGAACATAACAGGTCCCAGTGGGGAGCATGCTATCTTTTTCTGGTTGGACTGCTTAGCTGAAGTTTTTTGCCGTTGCATGCTGGAGTGACGTCGTGTAAGGTTCATAAATGATATTGGGTGCCGTCTCACTCTGATATGATGTTCAGATGCGTTCATCGTGGGAATGCTACAACATGTAGGAACCTCGGTCTTGTTCGTTTTCTACACTGACAAGGCTGCTTTTATCAAGTCCTAACCCTCTCTCGTTCCACTCCTTAATAAAGCATTGTTTTCTCCATTGTCATGCTACACTCAAGCCCCACTGTTATTGCCACCAGTGTATTGCCCTCAGTGGTGGTTATGAGGATCGTGCACACGTAACAGTTTTCGACAGCTTTGGTAACCCTACCCTTAACTTATGGACCATAGTTTTGCTCATCACGTCAGTTCTTAACGACGAATGAAACTCATGGCGACATATGTGACTGAAACAGTTCTACATGTGGACGCCATCTGGTTAAGGACCAGAAGAATGACCGTGATTGGTCTGAATATGGACCGATATCAAGCGAATATCTTCGGCTCGACTTCCACTACGAAGATTCTAGCTCGATGTTGTGGGAATTTCTGTTGTCGCCATATACATACATCAATGATAATCTCCCATTTTCCATCAAAAACTATCTCAAGCTTTCGTGCGTTTGTATGCACCACGTTGGAAGGATCAGGAGGTCAAAGACCTGCAGAGCAGTTGTAAAACCACATTTTTTCTAACCACCGTAAATGGGTATCCATCGGCAAAACTCCACTCACATTTTTATTTGTTTTTAGTGTGCAAAATAACGCTGCAGGAAAGGGAAGCTTCTGGCCTTTCTGTGAAGAGGAATGTTCCTTCTTCACTAAATCATGTTTGATAAGGCACATCTGTCCACTCGTGAAAGCCTTTTGTGAATATTTCAGTCTACACGACCTAAATCATTAGGTACGAATTGTTTTGATCTAGTTATTCTGCTTTTACTGTCCATGTATTATACTTAAAATCAAGGGACAGTGCGATGGCACTCTGATTAACGAGTTAAGGGGACTTAAGTGAAAAAGTTTGAGAATCGCTGCTTCCAATCAGCGGTACATTAATGTGTATCCTGCGCTGTGATCGTATCGCATTATCTACCCCAAGCGTTCGCCTTGCCATGATAGGTCTGCATTCTGACCTACTCACTGCCACATTGAATTCCTAATGCTAAATGACTAAATCCATGCTAGGGCATGTTTGACTTCCCCAACGGGATAGGATTATTGAGAGCGAAACAGCTAACTTGGTGTTTACGGCATCAACCGCATCAGCGACTTTGGCATCTGATGGGGCAAAGTGTTGTTCTTTTACTGGGCTAATAATGTTTTCTAACCATAAAAACCGATCATATATAGTGTTTTCAAACTCAGATCCCCACGTCGTGCCTTACGCAATATGTGTAAGTAGTTTTAGCACCATGTAGGGCATTCATCAGTGTGAATCCCTATCGCATCTGATTTTTCGGTAGTAGTAGTAGTAGTAGACGCGTGTTCCCATACCAAAATCTTTACATACTTTGGGGTTCACCTCATCAGACTGGTACTGTCCTTGGCATGATTTCGAATGAGACGTTTCTCCCTTTTCTCCCATATTCTCCTCTTACTCTTTCGCATTCATAGCTTGCATTCACTTTTTATGTTTGTGACCATGCTCTTCAAAAATAAATGATAATAAGATAGTAGTAATAGTCTGAGTGCAACAATCCCGATGCAGCGGAAAACGCGTATGGAAAAGCTCCTTTCTACTCAGTGCCGAGTACTACGCAATGTGGTCAACGATTCCGCATTTGGCAAAATTGTTCGGGATCTCAGCCTTCCGATCCGAGTCCATGGTGCATGCGTAAGCACCAAGGAGGAGCTGGTGGCTGCTTGGGGTGATAGTCTGCACAACTTCTTTGACGGTCGCGGTTTACAAGAGTTGGTCACTTCGCCTCTCTCGAATCGATGGCTCGTATTCCCAGAACGAGTGTTTCCACGGATATTTATCCGCGGTATCCAGCTCCGATGCAACCTGCTTAGGACGAGAGTTAGAAGCGCTCGGCATGGTCATGGTGGCCAGACGATCTTATGTCGTGGAAACTGTGGCCAACCGGAGAGTTTGGTG